CTGCCAAATTCCAAGTCTGCTGCAGAAAAAACCAGCGCATAATAAATGAAGAGTTCATATTCTGCTGCTGCTTATCCTTTATTAACGGACAACCGAGATAATGGAGCCTGTATTCCCGCAGTAGGAAGCTGTCTGACTGTTGGTTTTGGACCAGACGAGCAGTTTTCAGGCTTATGAAAGTCAAATGCCACAAAACTGGCTTAGAAAATTACCAAGGGTCAATTTATTTTGTGTTGTAGTGGTGGTGTTTTCCTTTTGCTTATGACAATTCTGGGTGGTGCATGGATGGTATCAGTGCACGTGGTTAAAGCCATGGCTTTGTGATACGTCAGTGTTTCTTTAGATTCTCATCTAAGGCAAGAGAAGGGGAGGCTTAGGTCTGGAAGTTTGGTTTTGCAAGATAGATTTAATTTGGCTATCTTCAGTAGTCTAGTCATGAAAGAAACTAGAAAAAATCCTGACATATGAATATTTGCAGTTGCAAATCCTTTCTTTTACTGAATGGAGCAAAGGCCAGAGACAGGAATGACCTGAGGCCACGGTTTGATATATGCTTTCAGTTGGTATAGCTCCTGGGAGAGGCAGTCCTGCAGCATCTCCTGGCTTGTTCTCTTCCCTGCCTTGTGCCTTTCCTTGTGATGGCACTTGTGTTTGCGTGTCAGCACGGAGAGCTGGTCTGACGCCCTCCAAAACAATTCTGCTGCATGACTGGAAGAGGTTCTCCAGCTCCAGTTGATTTATGAAGGTTGAATGTGGATCGTCCCAGTGGTAAGATGTGCATCCCCAACAGTCCCTCCTGGATAACCATCCCCAAACCCAGCACTGGAGGAGGTGAGGTCTGGGAGCAGACTGGGCAGAGCCCCTGCATGGGGATGGGCAGACTTCTGATGCTTGAAGGGCTCTGGGTGTCTGAATTTCAAGCTGCTGCCAGCCGGTACCCAGAGACTGAGGCTGCTTCAAGTGCAAAGTTCATCCTTAATCAAACAGGGCTCCTGGTGGGGCTGTTTGCAGAAATCACGTGAAGGGAGGGGAGAATTGTGCTGCTGTCACTCCTCCTGAGGCCGCAGGGGCTTGACACCTAGCGTGAGGATGGAGTTAAGCAGCAGTCAGCCATCCCCGTGTTTTAAATCAAGTGCGGATCATTCCTTTTGAGAGAGGACACGTGTGAGTCTGACACCTCTCCAGATCTGAAACACCCCACCCAGCGTTCGCAGTTGGCAGCTTCATTTGCATTCACTGTTTTTCTGTGTTCAGGCTGTTAGATTGTCTATAAAAAGCATTTGCTTATCGAGGTTTGGTGCCTCTTCTAGTAACAGCTCTGGTGCTGCCAGCCCCTTCTTGTGACTTCTTGGGTTTTAACTCTTCCCTTGCCCAGCTGCTGAAGATCTTGTGTTTCATGTGTGCAGAAAGAGGTAAAAAGGGCTTGCTGCTGTCCCATGAACAGACATCTCTATTTTTGGCTAATGATGGAAAGAGATTTGAAATGTTAAAAGCTTGCGTTAAAATCCCTGAAAATGGAAGTTTTGGCTGTGTGGGGATTGTTTGTTTTTGAGAACCAGATAAATAATCCTGTTGAGCATTACTGTGACTTTTCACTTAACTTAAAAAAAAAGAAAAAAAAAAAAGAAGGGAAGAACCTGAGCAAACAAAACCAAAAAGCTAATCTGTTGATGTACGGAGGGATCTGTGTTTGGAGAGGTGACTGATGGTCCCCACAGGCACTGTACATCAGCCAGTGCAGTAATGTACGTGCTCAGGGCATGCCAAGAGCATCACAGTTTAAAAATGCAGATAACATATGGTAACTGTTCATATTGTATATAAATCTTTGTCTGAACCACACGGTGGGGGGCAGGAGCTGTTCAGACATATGGTGCAGCCAAGGTTTGTTAATTATTGCACGTCAGTCACTAGTATCAGTGGTTGGCCAGACATAAAGCTTTCTGTCGAAGTGCCACTTACCTGCTGATTGAAAAGTAATGTTGTGCAGGGTTTAGTAAATCCAGGTGAGCAAGGACTGATGTGGACTATGCAGAGATCCTTATTTTTTCCCCTTAGATTTAGAAACGGATCACTTCCGAGTCGTTGAATGTATAGTGGTTCTTTTTTCCCACAACAGTTAATTACCTGATTGTCAGTATAAGTCAGTGTGTTGGGCATAGAGCTTATAAGCAAAGAGTAAAGATGAGCACACATGGAGTGAGTATCTGGTTATTTGAACCAGATCACAGCAGTAAATTCACTCCTTGGTAGCTCCTTCCTCCAGGATGAACTCTGAATGTGTTTCCAGCTGAGGATCTCCAGGTAACTAGGGAAAACCTTTCCTTAAGAAAAGCATGAGAGACACATGAGAGAAATGCATGTTTATTGTAGCACAATGAGTTAATCCATATTTGTGATAAAACCTTGAGATAACATTCTTTATTACTTCTATGCTTCTAGTCTTTTAACAGGCAGTGGCTGCTGTGGAGAAGAGCACTGGCATCCTGACTTCTACATAACTCTGATTTGGCAGTAGTGACGCTTTTTAAGCACCTTACAGAATTAATAAAAAACATCTCAAGCAGACAGTAGAGGGACGTTTAACTTCTTTTTTTTTGGTGAGGACACAGATCTGCACAGCTGTCCAGAACTTGTGTGAGTTTTGTGCATGTGGCTAGTAGGGTTGTGGCTGAGCTGGGCTCTTGGGCAGAACAAGTAGGATGCTGCCAATGGGGTACATGAGCCTTGGCAGGCCAGGAAATGCTAAATGAGTGACTGAAAAGAAAAATATTGGTACTGGCCAGTAGGGAGAAGAGCTAAAGGTCACAGTGTCACCCTCCTTTTCCTTGCAGCCAAAAGAGAGAAAGATTTCCATCAGAATTTGGTGACTTTGGTAGGAAAAGCGGTGGGTTTTCAGCAGACAGGGAACCATTTTCATGTACTGGAACAAAATCTGAATTTATTAAATTGTGTTTTTACACATTGTCTTTAGATGTTGACAATGATAAGATGTTCTGTTTTAGACACCTGGTAGCACCACAATAGCCCTTGACAAGCAGGTATAAAGGATGAATGGATTCACCTTGGACTCAAGCTGTTATAATACATTGGTCCTTAAGGTGCCTTCATAGAAAGTAAACTTAGAACACATTAAAAAGTAATCAAGCCTTCATTATGCAGTGCTGCTACTGCTGTTTGCCAGAAGCTGAGAAGATATAAATAAGGAGATGTTACTTGTCCTCATACTTGACTAATGGGTAAAGGAATCTGCTTTTGGCCACTGCAGGAGGAAAGTAGCTAAACAGACATTCAATGTGATGCAGCAAGTCAGTTCTGACCTATTTATGGCCTTTTAGTATCTTATTAGAGTTGACTGTAATAGAGCTTCAGTAGAATTGGCTGTACTGCATGTCTGACACAAAGCTAGTGACATTCAGAAACCCTGCTGCAACATGAAACTTGAATCCCGTGTACATTTAAATGGATGAATCGATACCATTTGAGTCCGAATATTTTTGATTGTTCACTAACAGTCACAACTGCAAGACTAACCAAGGTGAACTTAGAGATTTGCTTCTCTCAGCTGCTTATGCGAGTATGCCCACAACATGATTAAGGGGTTGCTTAATGTACTCCAGCCTCGAGTTTTGCTAGCAGATGTCTACTTTTGTGGGTACCAAGTGACAAATACCCCAAATCACCATGTAGTGTAACTGTAAAGAGCCTTTGGAATCCTCTTTCTGAGCCGTTGCTTTCCACAACCGTTGCACTCCTGATGAATGCTTCTGAACGGAATTAGGCTGAGATTAGTTTTCTAAATTAGCATCTTTCAAATTATGATTATATTACTTTATTCTTTCCTTTGCAGCAATAAGAAAAAAGGTTTCTTATTTTTTCTTACTAATTCCTTGAACTTCAATAGCAAGTCAGCGACCCAGCAATTAGGAGCCTGCTCAGCAGGCTGCTGTAGGTCTGTACCAAACAGGAGCCAGGCCTGTGTTACCGGCTGAACTTTGCAAAGCAGGCTAAGGGAACTGAAAGCCAAACTCCTGCTGGAGATTTTTGTTCTCTTTGCAGTCTGTGTCAAGGAGGAGGTGGGTGAGTGGGAGTTAGGTCCGTAAGTGCCCTGGGAGAATCCTGATCTCCAGGACTTTATTATATGGAGGTGACATTAACTTTCATGGTTAGTTCTTCTGGTACAAAAAAAACCTGTTGAATGCAGTGCAGTCTTTTGATTTGGGTTTTGTTGGTGTGGGATTTAACAAATTTTTAGGCCTTGGGTTATTGAATGAATGCACTTACAATGGCATTATAATCCATAAGCTTTTATTTTTGTTCTCGTGAATCAGCTTTTCCATTTATGTAACTTTCTATGGTTTCTGGAGCAACTTGTGGTCTTGTTTTGGGAAGCACTGACTTTGTCCTTTGTTCTAGCTATATTCTTGTATTGTGCCGCAAAATCTGATCTGTAGTGTGGTACCTTACGCCTGGATAATGCCCCATTGCAGGCAGACCACATGTTTCCAGACATGATGCAACGTCCAGGTTAGGTTGCAAAAAGCTTTTGATAGCATGGATTTTTCCCCCAGCCCCGCTCTGAGTGATGGGTTTGCATCCTTTCACCCCAGGACTTTTTTTTCTGCTTTTAAAAAGTCTTTTCCAGAGCCATACGTGAGAAATGGGAATCAGGTTGCTGCTCTCGCTGTGACCTGGAGCCCATTCCCTCCTGCCCTGGGTCTCAGGCTGGCAGCCTGGGGTCGGTGGGTGCCTGGTGGGAAGAACCATTTCCAAACAACTTCGAAGCTGTTGGGGGCAAACCACATCAAGACAGAGCTGCTGTAGCATCTCTGCAGGGCACGTGTTGCTATGCCATGGGCTTTCCCAAAGGGCCCTGGGGGCACAGACTAAGTACATACAGAGTCCATCTGGACACTGCCTAATTTCTGCAAAAAAAAAGCAGCACAAGTACAGCATGAGATTTTCTAGCCTCCTGTGTTTGATTTAAGTCATGTAAGTTCATGGTGGTTTTGCTGTATTTGTCCTCAGTCTCATTCCTTACAGACCAGAAACCAAGCATTGGGAGAGAGAATGATGACCCTACGTGTGATGCTCAGCTTAAAATAGCCAGAACAAAGAAGTGGTTTGAGTTCTGTAATTATAATTGCCCAGACCTAAAAATAGGCAGATGTTCTACCAGGCAGAGAGAAATAAGAGTGAGACGCGACTCGCTGGGAGACACCTCAGAGACAGCCTGCAAAGCTCTGATCAGGCAGGTCATTGCTGTAGGTGTCTACGAGTTTCCCACCCTTTGACTACCATTTGCAGGGGATGGTGGCCACCAGCACCACCAGAACTGGCACCTCTGAATTTTAAGCTAATATGGGGGGGAAAAGGCGGGTGCGAAATCTGGCTTGTTCATACGAATAAAAACAACAAAACCAGTTTATACAAAAAACCTGGCTCCTTGAATATTACAGTAAAAACCGAGAAGACTCTGACGGGGGCCAGGACCAAGCCTGCTCAGAGGTGTTTTGTCCCTGAAGGGAGTCCTGCTGTAGTGTCCTGGGGGGGGAACAAGCTTAGGGGGGCTGTCAGGAATTCGTGACATTTAAATACATAGCTGAGCTGCCCGTCATTAAACTCCTACAAATTCAGTTGTACTGGGAGGAAAAATTATAAGCATTTTGCAGCTAATTTGCAAGTATTAGCTTCTGCATTAGCAACTCACATGAGGAAGGCAGCATCATTTTAGAAATTAGATGAGAAATATTAAAAAAAAAAAAAAACCAAACCAATTTTTTTTTAAAATTCCAAAAAGTGTCTGTGAATGCCCATAGTGTTAGCCAGCCCCAGCAGCAGAGGTGGTCAAGTCCTAGAGTCACAGTGGGCAACTCAGACTGCAGGATGCGCTGCAGCAAGTTAATTTGTCTTGGCAGCAGCACCGCATTCCTCATGCTGCCCCGCTCCCTTCAAAGAAAACCGTTTTCTGGGTATTTCCACCTCGGCTGCAGTGTGCAAAAGGATGGTGCTGCTGGCTGCTGCTGGAGTTTGCTGAAGATCTCTTCTTTTCCCGTTCACTGTTAAAATTTGAGCATATCAATCTTGAAAAGGTACTGAACAATTTGGAGAACTGATGGTTACCAGTCTGGCTACAAACAGTACCATCATCTGGGCATTTGAACTTTTCACTATTCTGCACAAAGCAGGTATCTCCTGTAATTTAAAGAATTGAACCCCTAACAATGAAACAGCTTAAAATAATCACTGGCTTAAAATGCAACTGCTTCAAAGGTGTAGTTGCTTTTTGTTATCTAGAACCCAGAAGACTGGAATTGGAAATGGTAAAAAACCTTTTAAAGCTGGTTTTGTCTCTAAACTAGATGGAGAAGTGTGCAAGATGTAGATCTGCCGTAAGGTGTTCCTTCTGTGCTGCCCTGGTGCTGGCTCTCAGCTGTGAGGTTGGGAGCAGCAGCTCAGGCCACGTGAAAGATGCTATAAGCGATGATATAACCACGGCTGGGAACTTTACAGGAAGTCTCTTTAAAGTTCTTTAATTCTCACAGCAATGTATGAGCCATTTAATTGCATCTTTTGGAGGTCAGGACACAGGACCCACAGAAACGGTGCAGAACGCCTGGTGCTGAGCGCCAGGATGGCAGAGCTGCAGCCGTCTTATGGGCACTGGGAAGTTTGTTGTGGGATCAAACCAGCAGCACTCAAACTGTAAACTTGCTTCAGTTTCCAGTGGTCTATAAATAGATTTCCAAAACATGTCTATTGTCCAACAAGGAATTTATTTATAAACTGAAAAAATAACAAGACTTAAACCCAAAATCCCCTCCTGGCCAGCAATGCAAACTAGAGTGTTCTTTTGTATGTGTATGCCTGTGTATACCAAATAAGACAGAAGATTCTTTGAAGTAAATTTCAATGAAGTGTTTAAAACAACTGTTTCCTTGCTGCGGGGTAGGTCTCAGAGAGGCTGGCTGTCGGATGGCCAGTTTACAGTCCTGGCTGGAGCTGGGGATGGAGTATCGCCTGCTCGCTGGGCCAGGGTCCTGCAGCATCACTCCTGCCTCTTTCCTGTTTATTATCTTTTTGTTGAGCTCTTTTTTTTTTTTTTTTTCTTCCCCCCCAAGGAGTAGAGATTTGAAGGAGGAAAAAAAAAATATTAAGTCTGAAATATTGCAGCATTTTCTGGAAAGTTTTCTGCCTGCTTTGGGGTTAAAGCTCCATTTTTGATGGACTGCAATTTATTGGAAAATGTCACCCATATCTACTCTTGGCAGCTTTGAGGTGGTTTCTGTTGCGTTACTGATGTCATCCACTGGTGTGAGTTAGATCTTAGAACAGCAAATTGAACTTCTGGTGTGTAATCAAGTGAGGCACCATAATCCTAAACTACTGATTTTCATAACTCCACTCTACGCACATGCTCTGCTGAAAGCTTAATGTTTCGTGATTGGCTTGTAACTGGAATGAAAGAAAATCTTGATACACAAGGGTATCTTAGGAAAAAAAAAAAAGAGCCAGCTGGAAGCATGAGCTTCTAATGTTGCTTGTGCAGATTTTGTAGGCAGGAGATTATAGGTTGCTGGTGAGATTTTGGTTAACCTCCAAGCACTTGCCATAAAGCTATTTCAGTCTTTGGAACAGACAGTGAAAACCAAACCCAACCGAAAATAGATTCATTTGGTTAAATGTTTCCTTTCAACATTACCTTAGGAACATCAGCAAAAAGTATAATGTTTCCACTCACCTGAGTAATTTTAGCTGTTTTTCCTAGAAGCATGAGTCAGTGTGTTCAGGCTAAGAAACCAGGGGTGTGTTTCTGGGATTGGGAAGGGAGCAAAATGGACTTTCACGAGGGCATTCTTGTTTCCCCAAGCAGGGGAGCGGTGACCTCCAGCAGGATGTGGCCCTTCTTCTTGGCAGCACTGACTTCTGCTGCTCCCCACCCCAACCCTTCTCCTTCCATCCCTCTGTCTCCATCCCACCTCCACCCCTGGGGTTTTGCCCCATTTCTATCCATTTATCTCTGTCCCATCCGCTCCTGCCCGCAGCCTCTTTCCTTCCTTGCAGTTGCCTCCCCAGCCCTGTCTGCGGTTTGTCTATCCTCCTTGTGCTTTTGTGTCTATCCACGAGTCCTTCTGCCTCACCAGTGCTGGTCCCCCAGCCTCAGGACCCTGCGTCAGCAGCATTGCTCTCGGTTCCCCAGCTCCTGCGCTGACTGCATGCACGTTCCCGGCTTTCCGCTGGTGCTCCCTGCCCTGCAAAATGTGTCAGGAGCACTCAGTATAAACACGGATTTTTGTGTTTGCAAACTGCGGTTAGCTGCAGGCCAAAGTAGTTTTAGACATGACGGTTGTTTGCAGAGGACAACGTGCAGTATCTGGAAAGGTGCTGGCCGGTGTCCATGCCCAGTTAGGCAACTGGGAGAGCTTTTTTTAGGAAGCGAGCGCTACGCGTTGACAGGCGCATCCTGAAGAAAGGCTCCTCGCTCCTTCCCAAACATGGGCAGCAGGAACCATCATCTTCCAGGCTCTTGTCCCGAGGAGAGCTTATTCCCTTTCGTGTAAGACAAAATACCCTGACGTGGTAGCAGGCGTCTCTTGCTCTATTTTAGGCTCTTCCCGTGGATTCCAGTGCCTGAGATTAATAGAAGTTTTCTAAATAAAATCCTATAAAATCATGCAGTCTGGCAGCTCCGTGTCTGTTCTGCCCAGCGGCTGGTGCCATGTTTCTCTGGAGCATTTAATGCTCTTGTGTAAGTGCTTGTCACCGCGGTCGGAAGACTTGTCTGAGGAGCCGGGAGGAAGCTGTCGCCCCTTAATCTTCCAACTCTTTTTTTTTTTTTTTTTTAATTTTGTCTAGAAGACTAGGGTTTCAAACTAATATTACTCATGCATCAGCACCAGCTCTTTGCCTTTTTTTACAGTTCTTCAGAGAATTACCTCCTTTGGCTACAGATGTAGAGTGGCAGAGAGTCCAAAATGCCATGCATGTGTCCCACACAGTGTGTCTTCTAGCTCTTCATAAAGAGAGGGTTACTTGCTGCGGTAGCCCTCTGTAGTCATGGTTGTGAACTTGGGATCCAGGTGTGCTGCCTGTAGCTGAAAAAACAACCCAGAGACTGTCCTTGCTCCATGTATAGTTTAATAGGAGACTGTGAAAAAACTTAGTTTTCTGTTTTTTCTTAAAAATTTGGGGACATCTCAAAGTGTGTTCTAATTAAACAGCAGATTTTGGACAAGTGAAGGACCTGAGACTAATGAAAACTATCTGGATATGTAATTTACAAATGTTTGGAAATGGTTACTTAAAATTTAACTAGTTTGAGGAGAAAAATTTCCATTTATTCCCAGGTCAGTACATTGCCGTAGATACTGACCACGGGCAGAGGAGTTTACAGTTACAAGGACCTTTCCCTTATTTTAGTCCTACTGAATAGTTCATGAAGGAAGTGCTTGCTGCTGCTTTTTTTTTTTTTTTTTTCTTCTGAGCTGCATGATATGAGGGAGAAAAACTTCCCCTGACTGCTCTGTTCTGCTGTGACAGAGCAAAGAAATCTCTTGCCAGTAGATTTGAGTCTGCTGAGAGACATTTTTCTATACAGCCTGTAACATGAATTATTTCCTCGGGGTGTTATAACTTGTCCATTTTTATTTACTTTTACCCTTGATCAAAACTAGCTAATGCCCAGCCATATTCGGCTGTTTAAGGGTACAAGGGTACTTGCTAGTCGAGTTTATCGGCTTCTCCGCTGACATGTTAGGAGGAATTACGTTGGCTCCTGCAGCCATGGGCAGGCAGCTTCCCCGCTGAAGCTGGGAGCACGTTTTTCCTCCGTTGGGAGAGCAGGGTTGGTCCCTTTGCACTATACTGAGCTAGATGCAGTGCAAGATCCAGGTTTTTTTAAAAACAAACCACCCCACCCAAGGTCTGGTTTAACCTGGACTGGTTCCCTATCGTGGATTGTCACACGGCCAGCAGCGATGGCTCCAAAGGAGCTGCTAAAGAACGAGTCAACGGATGCTTAAAGACTGCCAAGGCATCGCAGCCTCCTCTTCGGAGACACCGGGCTCTGCTCTCCCAGCCCGCACCCTTCCAGAGCAGGACTTTAACCCTCACCCCCTCCCTTGCTCCCAGTCCCGCTCCGTGTCCCGTGGGTGCGGGGCTGGATGCGCCAGGGGCGCAGGCACCATATTTGGCTCTCAGCTGGCTGTGCCCTGACCCTGGCGCGGCTCACCGGGAGCTGCCTGTTTTCCCTTTGCCGTATATGGAGAGGCTGCTCGGGGAAGCTGGGTGCTGACCTGAATTAGCAGCAGCGCAACATCTGGATGAAGCGCTGCTTTTGGTGCACTGAGCTAATTAGGTTAAAGCCAGGGCTTGGACCGGTTTTGTAGTGAAGGGAATAATTTGAAGAGAACAAATTTCCATTAAATCCCTTTTTTTAATTGTTTGCCAGGATGAGCATGGTTATAATTTCCTTTATGGTGGTAAAGTCATGCAGAGAAAGAACAGAGCATAAGCAGAACATCGCTGTATCAGGAAGTCAATAATTTTTATATGACAGTAATAAAAACCACCTTTCCTGTAAAAAGCCAGCACAGTCTTTGCTGCACAGATCCTGCTTTTCACTTGGGTGCTGTGTGAGTGTGCAGAGGACAGGCTGCATCATGGAATCTCATCCAGCCTGGGCAGTCAGCACCCCAAGACTTTTACTTGAGATGAGCAAGGATGGGGGATGCAGGTTTGTGGCTCTCCAGAGACCACACCTGCCACCACTGAAACCTGGAGCAGAGCAGAAGAGGGGTTTTTTGTCCAAAGAATCATGAGCCAAAATTGCATTGAGATGTTACTGTTAGGGCCTCTGCAAGGGCACTGCTCACACCTTTGCTTTTGGTTGGAGACCCTTAAGGTTCACAACACTTACATGTGTATAGGGACAGAGTCTTTAGACTTCAGCCTGTTCAACTAGCTAGGACCCAAGTCAAGATATGACTCTGTAGAAGGTATCTTTTTATTTTAAGAATTTTCTTACTGCTTCTATTTTCAACCTGTCTTGCACCCCCTTTTTGCCACATTGAACCCTGGAATTGCATAATTGGCAGCAGAAAAAATAGTTTGACTCATTTTGTTTGCTTTCCCCCCCGCCCTCCTCTTTTGTGACAGATTAAAAAGCAGCAACAAGATGTGTTAGGTTTCTTGGAAGCTAATAAAATTGAATTTGAAGAAAAGGATATCGCCGCCAATGAGGAGAATCGGAAATGGATGCGTGAGAATGTCCCTGAAGACAGCCGGCCAGCAAGCGGGAACCCCCTGCCGCCCCGGCTCTTCAATGACAGCCGGTACCTCGGGGTAAGGGATGGCTCCAGGTCTCCATCTCTTCTCATCCCAGTCCTTTTACTCACTGCCATAGTCTGTATTTTGCTGTTGTGATCAGCAGGGAAGGACCTGGCCAGCTGTACATTCAAGCGTGGAAGGTGTTGGACATTTACCCCTCCTCTTGGGCTTTTAATAATAATTGATTCTTGAATATTCCAGTTCCACCATAGAGGAGAGATTAAAATTTGGAACTCCTGATTCTCAGGTCGTTGTGCTACTTACTGGTATGAGCCTACCACTGCCTGGCAATGTGTATATTTTTTTTTTCCTTTTTTTTTTTTCCTCTTACGGCTCCGAATAGTTACAGTTTTTTTAAATTCTCATGTTCACCATGATTGTGAACTTAACACTTCACGGAAATCTGGCACTGTGTGATGCAGCCAGTTCAGAGATCCGTTGAGTCTGCATGGGGTTTGCCAATATGTGTGGACCCCAGATTGCTCTGTACTATGTTCATCTTCCAGAACAAGTGCTCATATGCAGTGATGCCTGCCATGACCAGAAATCAGTTTTCTGATCCTTCCTGGGGTCAGTTTTTATGTAGTGCTTGCAAAATGAAGGCTATTGCGGTCCACTTACTCCAGTGCCTGGAACAGATTAAAACTCCTATTGCAAATACAATTCCTGCTTGTAATTATTTTAATGCTTGATCAAAAGTAAGTTGCCCTGCAGCACTTCTACTCAGCAGGCCATGCTTGAATGATTATTAGATTGACTGTTAATTTTATTTTTAAAACTTAATATAATCTGAAAAGTGCTCACAGTATGCATTCCTCTGGTGTTGTGTGTTGGTTTGTAAGTTGTTTTGCAGTCTGGTCCTGACCTACAAAGTCTGTAAGTCAGAACCTGCCAGTTCTGGACCTTTGTGAGGCAATTCTGTGGCTACTGAAAGAAATTGTTATTAATTTGCCAGGATTTTTTTCTTGCTTGTAATAAAAGCAGAACTTGAAACAATATCCACGGTGAGCTAATGTACCACTCGGATTTCAAAATTTTACTGGCTGTGGTTTTGACACGGAAAAAGGTTGGTTTGGAGTGACAAACGTAATGGTCAATCGCTGTCTGCAGCTGAAAGCTGAGACAGGGCTAGTCACAGAGAGTTGAAAATCTCTGCTCAGTTATTTCTCTTTAAAAACAAACAGAAAAAAAGAGGCAAATATTTCTGTACTAGTAGGAAGTCCGGTTGCAACAGTATTGCCCTTCTCCCTGGCTGTACTAGAGCTTTAGGGATGCAAGCAGATCACTGTGCAGTTGTCCTGTGTCAGTGAAATGTTGCCAAATTTCTGGTGCATTGCTGCAGCTGTGCAGCAGAACAGGGCTTTACTATGCAGTGGTGTGGGACAGGAAGAGAAAAAGCTGTATGCACCTAGAGCTGGACGCTTGCTTGCTTATCAGAGATGCTGCTAATGTGTCCCCAGCTGCAACCTGTGACAGTTTTGGGGAGAGGGATATCGATGCTTCAGGCCAGTTCTTGCTATGGGCTTATTTAATCCACAGAATTTTGGTTTATGTCACTTTGAACTTTTGAAGTTTGGTTGATTTGTGCAGCTACGATTCAAGTTACTACAGTTTAGCTTTCAGGAAGGTAAAAGTTAATTCTGTGACCGCATGCTTGAACTTCTTTGTGTCTTTATCTGATCTACCTCAAGCATCAACTTCCCTGTTCGTTTCATCTGATGCAGCATTACTGGCAGAGGAATGCGCAAATTGACTTTTACTGGCCTGTGCAGAGCAGAAAGGCTGTAACTGTAGATGCCCTGTGAGCTGGCATGAACCCTGCTCCTTAGTCACAGGCATTCCTTTCCTGGTGGATGCTATGAAGCAGACTGCCGGACTATGCACTAGCAAGATAAACAACCCCTTTGTTATCAAGCAGCCCCAGCGCTGTCAACAGAAGGGCTTCAGGGAGGATTTAACATAATCGTATACATTTTTATCCAACTAGCACCCGAATACTGCGTGTACAAATTGAACAATAATTTGACATCCCTGATCTCCAGGCAGCTTGAATTTTCTCTTCCCTGGACTTTCTTCTGTTCCAGCTGCAACAGCCTCTTCTTAGAGCTGCCCCTGCTCCGAACAAGCTGTTATTCTCCAACAGCATTTGCCATTTCTTAGGCTTTTGCCTACCAGACAGAGAAGCATGCGAAGCAGCGTGCCCGTAATGGCAGTGCTCTCCCTGACTTCAGCCGGAGACTGAGCCTGCTCTGAGCTGCTGCCTTGCCTTGGGCTTCTCAGCCAGGACTCCTGCATCAAAACATTCCCCAGTAAAGCTGGAGAAAGCTGCTACTGTTGCCCCAGTTAAAAAGGAGAGCAGGAAAGTCATAGGACAGCTATGTGCTGAGTTTGGGAATCAGTGAGGGAAGTATGCGGTAACTTGGACAAGGGTGGACTTGCACAAATCTTGTGGGTTCATCTGGTCGGTGTTTGGCAACTGCTGTTGCTGAGCCACACTGTGGGCTTTTGGCTTGCTCTTCCTAACTTAGCAGACGACTAAGCTGTGTTGTTTGTACTCTGTACAGCACTGCATTCTGCCTCAAATAGAAAAAAGAACAGTGAAGGAAGCATGTTTTATTGTTTCATTGTTTTTACCTTCATTTTCTTGGGAGGTGGTTGTGTGCATATTTGGAGCAACCATAGTGCACAATGAACAGTCCCACCTGATTTCCTTCATTTGCATAGACTAATCATTAATTGCAAACACAATGGGAAAGGATGTACTCTCAGTTTACAGGTTTAAATTTAACTTTTAACAGGTCTCAGAGTTAATGTCCATGGTTGCACAGTTGCCATTAGTAACCAGCAATTAGCAATGGCACCTGTGGACATAAGTGTTTCTGATGACAAGGTATGGCCTCAGCCCGCTCCTGCAGGAGGGACATCTGTGCCAGACCAGTGACAACTACCTTGCTATGGAGGCAGTCCCTCTGGGAAAGACAGGAGCACCTCACAGCAGCATCTTGTTGCTACAGATCCTGAAATTCCCAGCTTGTTGCTTTTCAGACAGTACAATTTCTTTGCTATCAGTGCTAACAATAAATATCTGAGGTGATGCTCTGAATTTTGCGTTCAGACACAGGCAGCAGTTTGCTTTGTGAGGGTTGGGTAACACACCAAACTGAGTTGTGATTATTTCTGACGATTCATACTTGTGTCTTCTGTTCCCCCCGCCTCCATCTCCCGACTCCCGTCATGAAGGACTACGAAGCTTTCTTTGAAGCTCGAGAGAACAATGCGGTATACGCGTTTTTAGGCTTGACTGCACCACCGGGTTCAAAGGTAGGTGTGCACGTTTCTCACAGTAAACCACAACCTGTATTTTACACCTTGTTCTGCACTGCTCATAGTAGGATATTTTATGTGTTCTGTGTTTGCCCCAATCAATCTATGTGCTGGCCTGATACTCAGTCTCCAGAGACTAACTCTCAGGCTTCAACGTCACAGCAACATGCTGTTGTTATGGGCTGGTTTATTTAGAGGATGCTGTGTACTCTGGAAGCATCTTCCTCCCACTCCTTCTGCCAGAAAAACTCTGTGTTCAGTACAGATGCTCTTTTGGTATCCTCACTGCAAAGCCACCCTGCTTATTGTTAAGTTAATGGAAGAACTTGTGTTGCTTTGGAAAGAAGAGCTGGGTCAAGTTCTTCACTAGTAATAATTGTCTCTTACCGTTGGATTTTTTTTTTTTTAATTGTACACTCTGGAAACAAGTGAAAGAGTAGTTAATATTTGCACTGAAGAATGCACAAGAAATCTAGATTTAAAAAGTTGTCACAAAATCAAAGAATTATTTCAATTCAGTGAAAAAACTTAATTCATGTGAGGTTTTGATGAGATTTTTGTACTAGAAAATACCTTGAAACCAGAGTTGCTGTTTTTGAAATAATGTGGTCTTGTTTCAGAGTAATTTTTTTCCTCCAGCTTGTTATCTGAAGCCTTGTTTTCCTTTGCCAATTACAAACTGGGTTGCTGCTTTGCGGATGCAATGGGCTGGAATTCCCCTTTTGATTTTGATAGGATAGGACAAGCCTGTTTTATACGTTTCACTTGACAGCAGCAGGATCCTCCAGGTCACTTCCAGCTTTCTTGTTCCAATGAACAATCACGCCATTTCTTTTCAACTTTATTCATGGAAGAGTTGAAGGTCATGCTGTGCACATCACTAAGAGACCTAATTTTAAAGGTGGATGACGATCCATCAGTATTAAGCGTTACAAGTTGTGGGTCAGATTGAAACAGTTTTGGGAGCCAAATTAATTTCTAGCAGTAGCTCCACTAATGTGAACGGCGTAGAAGGAAAAATTCTGCCTCGTTCAGAGAACTGCAGAGAGCAAAACCTGTGATACGTGCCCCAGTGTCAGGTGGTCAGCTGCACACAGGGCGATAGTCATGGAAATCTTATTTTAGTTTCTTGGAACATCTGCACAGCACTACACAAAAGATATGCAGGGTGGAGCCAAGGAGTGAGAAGGCAGGAAAGCCTGTGCGTTTTCCCTCACGGCTGAGATCTGGGAAGTGCAGTCATACTGGAGAGCAGTTGCTGCCACAATGAGTCAGGTCACCTGTCTCTACAACATTTATGCACATCGCTGCTTACTTAACCTGTCAGATGGCAGAAGCAGTCTGCAGGGCTATTAGTTGCTCCAATTCTGTCCTAAGCGGTGGCTTTTAAGGAAGAGGTGAGTTTTAAAGGGGAGAAACATAATGCATTTGTATTCTGCTGAATTTTCATGTGGCTTGCTACAGCACAGGGAGGTGCCTTTGAGCCGATGAAGATAACCTTTGTATAAGTGACCTTGTAGCCAGTGCATTCTGCTTTGGTCTGACTTTTAGTGTCTGTCCCACAGTTACACAATGTCAGATCAAGCTGATTGCCTGCTGCCGAGGAGGAGAAACTGATTTGTAGGTGCTGAAATTGGCATTTACAGCATAGCTGCGTGCAGCTTGGATATGATGCAGTAGTTAATGACACTGCCTCTGCTGCTACATAAAATGGAAAGAGTCTGGGATCAACCTGGGTGCTATTGCAAGAGAGGACCTTGACAGAAAACCTCCGTAAAATGTTGTCATGAGAGATTTGGAAAGTTGTTTGACTCTGAACACACAGGTCCAAGGGCTCAGAAGCGAGCGTGAGAAATGTAACTATTTCCTGAGCCTTGGTGGTCTGGTTTGCGCTTTGGCCACAGTCCTCCAGGGATGGAGGCTGAGTCTCCATCCCTGGAGGTATTTAAAAGACCTGTAGATGTGGCACTTAGGGACGTGGCCTAATGGTGGGCTTGGCGGTGTTAGGTTTACATAGGACTTGATGATCTACAAGGACTTTTCCAACCTAAATGATTCTGTGATTCAGTTATTAAAGGGAGAGGATTTTGTGAGTTAAAGGTTGTGATTAATTATGTAAGGACAGATGACATGCTCAGTGAGGGGCCTTGAGGAAAAGTATGAAAGAGGGATAATGTCTAATCTGAAAAGCTGAGCCAGGTAACTTGCAGGACCATGCCGAAGGAAATGGAGTTTGACCTATTAAGTTCTCTGCATTATTTGTACTCCCTTTCCTGGAGATGAGGGAAGTACCTCTCCAGCTTACCACTGCCTGTTTTGAAGATAAACACTTTGTCCTGCATTTTCTGGAAAAAAAAATAATATCTAGATGTCAGTTCTGTAGTGCCCATGACAGGTTAATGGAGTTGTTACAGAACCAAGGGAACCATCTCCTCTTTGTTACCATTCAAAGAACCACTTGTCTTTTAGATAATATCAAACAGCCTTTTTTCCCAGGCTTTGTAGTCGTTTTTAATCTTCCCTTCATTTTTCACCTGCCTTTTCTGCCATGAACTGGTAGGATGCCCTTGCACGAGCAGCGTGGCTGTGCAGCGATGTCCCGGCTCTGCTCTTTGACCCATGCCGTGCGGCCAGAGGAGCAGAGCACAGTCGGGGAGCGCAGCAGACCTGAGCCAGCGTTCCGAGCACGGCTGTTCCCACGCCCCTGCATTAAAAGGCAGCACGATGTGAGGCGCTTGGGCAGACAGCCAGGAAAACCAGAGTGATCCACCACGGCTAAGATAACGGAGATATGCGTGGTACTTCCTGCCCTGCGGGCTGGGGTCACACACAGTGTCCCCTCTCTTACAAGTCTTATAGACTTCTCGGAAATTCCCTTCTTAGTTCTTCCTCCTCCTTTTTTTTAATTTAACATACTGGCTTATGTTAACAACCATATTGTCGAGCCTGTTATCTTCAGTATTTCTACGCAGTCACCAAAGCAAACAACTCCATTACATAAAATTTGAGTTTAGCAGATGTCAAACTTTTTTCCTTTAAAATAAACCACACTGTCTACCCTGAAGTGCTGCAGCGAGAGAGCACTGTGGCTGTTCATCTTTTTGTAGGCCATGTTGCCGCTGACAGGTAATTAAATTAATTTTCAGCCAAAAGTACACTCATAGAAACCATCTTCAGAAAAAAATTCCTTTTGCATTTCTTCTGCTGTCATTCTGTTCCCATTTGTGCCCACCTTACAAAGGCTGAAAGAAGGCTGAAAAATGCAGACTATTGTTTTCTTCGTGTTCCTTCTGAAACACACGGAAAATTGTTAGAGGTTAGCTGATGTGTCTGCTAAACTGCTAAAACTTTCCCAGGAATGTTTGCACGTAGCCAAAAGGCACTAGAGCTGTCCAGGTCCATGGAAGAGCTGTGGGTTGGGAGCCCTGGGCATGGAGAGCAGGTGGAAGGCAGGAGTGGTTCCCAAGGAGCAGGTTCCCACTGGCTCGCTTCCCCTGCAGCAGGGAGCTGGGATTACTCAGCAGTGCCAGTGCCAGGACAGACCTGCTGCCAGCCCCGGGACGGAGCTCCCGGCTGAGCAGCTCCGAGCTGTGTCTGGCTAAGGACTCACAGGCTGCTCCCATCACCCTTCTAGAAGGCCAAAGCTAAATGCTGGCTCTTAGTCTTTTGGTAGGGTTTAGTTCAGAAAGTAAATTGTGTCTCTGCTGAGATCTTTTTTTTTTTTTTTTCCCTTCTTTTTTATTTTGATGTGGAGACTTTTATTAATGAAGAATTCTTTTTCCATTTCACCGTAGTTCTTAAAATAATTTTTGACCTCTAAACAGTTCTTGTGTCGTAACATGAAAAGAGGGATAACTTGTTATATCTGATCTTTTGTTTTAAACTTTCATGGTCAAAACTGGCTATGAGCACAGGTTGGAGTATTCCGCTTTGAGCTAGCTCGGAATGAAAGCCAGCACCACATGGGACTTGTTTTATAACGTCATCGTAGGCAGTGGGGGCTCTTTTCTTGAGTTCAGTGCTCCTCAATTCTCAATCACGTGTTGCTGCAGTTTTTGTTATGTCCTATGTTGGTGCTTAACGCAGGAATGTGTAAGTTGTCGCCTTTCATGAAGCACTAATATGTGTAATTCTGTTCTGCTCTTTCAGGAAGCTGAAGCACTGGCCAAGCAGCAAGCGTGAATTTCAACTGCCTTACATGTTCTGTAAAGGGAATTTCCACAGCTTTTTATAAAATAGTACAACTGTCTCTGCTTTGAGAAATATAGATGTGATTGCTAACATTTGATTGGTGCTTGCAGCATTCACTGTACGTAACACAAAGTTGAACACAAGATGAAACGTGAACATAAAGGTGTCGTAACCCGACTGCCCTGTGAGGTAGGCTGTTGAGGACAGACATTTCAAACCAGTTAATAAGCCTTTCCACTTAATGCCTAATGCGGTAAAAATTGAAGCAAAAAAAGGTTTTATCTAAAACTCCTGCTGCTCTCGTAATTGAGAATTAAAGTTAGACATTCTGTTCACAGTATTTTGTAGTTCATTATCTGAGCTTTCTCTGTCGAAAACTAGACAGCATTCGTCTGTAGTGTGATTTAGAACAACACATAAAACTCCTCCTTTGACCAATAAGTAATCTGTGGCAAAACTGTTCTCTGATAGCAACTGTCGGGTGACTTTCATTTGACCTCCAAGGATGTTTATGGCATCCCGAGTTAAATTGCCAAGATGTTGAACACCTGATTATAAATTTGTTAGTGGGATCTGTTGCTTAACAGAAACGAAATGGGGGAGAAATACAGATTCGAGACCCTGGGAAAATGTCAGAGATTTCCATAAAGGGTTTGATTGGATATCTCTCTGTTGTCTAGAATGTTTCTCAGCCATATAAGCATTTTTTACTGAGGTAGGGCATATCCACAGGATCCCTAATGTCCAATTAATTCCTTTAAGATTACTAGGATACCCTGGGTAGGTATTCCCATCGTTACAGGCCCACGCAGGACCCTTTGGGGCTTGTATTGTATGCGAGTTACAATCGAAGGATTGACAATAGAAATATGGCTCAAAATTAGGAGGTACTAAATGAAGGCAATTATTTCACTTATCAACAATCCAAGCTGCAAATTCCATTAATTGATTCCAAGGGAAATGTTTCAGACACTTTGGGGAATTTTGATTCTTTCCAGGGAGGTTAACATTCACCACTTCACGGTTAGTCCAGTTGAAAATTGGTACAGACCAGTTGTACTCAGTACACAGTGGTCGAATTGGCCATGATCTGACATCGTGTTTTTATTGGTCCCATGTACTTGTGGTCTGGGATCTGTGTTTATTGCCTGGATGACGGAGTTGTTGCGTCCCTCCAGATCCATTTCCACGGAATGCGATACAGTCCTCCTCCCACTTTCCCAACAGTTGCAATCTGACAGGTACTGAACGATAGAACTATAGCATTAAAAGGGGCATATTTGGGATGGAATACTTTTATCTGCTCCTCTTCTACTCTAAAAATTGTATTCCTGTGGCAAGCCAAATAAATAGGTGGCCCCCTTTTCCCAAACCAATTATTAAGTCTCTACAAGATCATATCTAATTCAATTTGGTGTCTTGGTTGCTGGAGTTTCAGTTGCTTTTTTTAATAAACCACTAAACCATTCAGCCATTCCTGAAGTCTGAGGATAATAGGGAACATGAAATACCCATTTTATGCCTTGTTCCTGTGCCCATTGTGCTACCTGATTATTTTTAAAATAGCGGAATCGGGCACCACAAAAGGTAGAGAGCACAGAGTGTATTATTACAAAGTTGGAAGCAGAGGAAACTGAAGGAATTAGTCATGAATTATTTTCACATAGTTTAAACTGTCTTGGCAATTCGTCCAGTTTGTGTAAACTTCAAGAAACTGTTATAGTACTAATAACACAGACGGGGTTACACCTAGAGATCCAACTACTTAAAACGTGGAAAACAAGCAACAGCATCCAAAACCTTGTCAGATACTAACTTTAGTGCCTGAGTTGCCTCAAAAATGTTACTGAATTTACAGAGTAATTTTTCAGCGTCTTTTCTGGGTTCAGATGCAGCTGTAGGTGGTATTGTGTAGTAGAGCCATTGTAGTCACTTTTGAAAGTTCTGTTTGTTCTTTTGTAGAATGGATATTAAAGATTTGTATTGTAACACACTGTACAGACGATAAAAAAAAATGCCATGTATTTCTCATTTAAGTGATCCGTGTGGGCTCTTTTGACAAAAAAAAAAAAAAAGTGATTTGGGCAATGGACAGCCGTTCCATCCCACCGCTGCCTAAGCCTGACTTGATTATATTGTCTGCAGGCAAGATCCAGTGCACCTCAGTGAAGCATGCGCTAATTCCCAGTCAGTGTTGCAAATAAGCCAAAACGGCCAGAAATGGCATTTCCTTACCTGTGTAAGGGTGAAAGCCTTTAATGTCTTTCTCTACAAAAATACCAGTTCACACTGCTTACAGCATTAGGCATCTTCTGGCATGGCCGAGTAGTCGTTAGATTCATATAGTATTTTTTCAAACAAGGAAATAAATATTTGAATAGCAGGAATTATTGTAATTAAGCAAGACTTTTTTTTAAGGTTTAAAAACTTATTTCCATTGTTATTGCCATATCATGAAGCTATTACAGGAGTTGTGAATCTGTTGAAGTGTCTTGCATTGGTGAATTTGCCATGTGCAATACTAACCTCTCTGTTCTCCCAGCGCTCATGAGATAGTCTGCATTTCTTGGTCATATTCTGCAAAAATACAAATAATTACAAGTGCCCTGAAGGATAAGAAACAGACTTACGAAGTGTGTCGGTAATTTAAAATGCATTTTGCACCACATAATGTAGCTATTCCCCGAATGCATCAAATGACAGCAAGAAAGATAAGAAGTCCTTGCTGTAGAGGATCATTCCAATAGCTCTGCACACACACATTTTGTTGTTCTTTGCTTTATGAAGACAGAGGAGCGGGTGGTACAGATCAGTAAAGGCTGTAAAATGTGTGTAGTGCTTTTTAAACACTTTCTGAAACAGTTCTGAAGTCTGAAATTAGGAACAGGAGAAAAGTAAAAACCTACGTTGACAAAGGTGTTCTAAAGTGCAGTAATGAAATACTTCCCTCAACAACATTTCTTTGGGTCTTTTGCTCCATTCACTACAACCGATGATTTTTGTCAACATCTGCTAAAAGAGAAATGCAGCTACCTGCTGTGGTCGGAGGAGAGCTCTGCTCCCAGCGAGCTCGTGATGAAACTGCCACAGACCTCCGAGCGAGCAGGATCTAGCCAAGTCAGTTAAATTCATGTTTTATCTCTTCTGATTTGGTAGTCCGGGAGCCAGTTTAAAGCTTGTGCTTACAAAAGCAAGCAGGGTATCAAAAGGCATAGAGATAGTTTAATGTTGCCTTACCTTCAAGGTTAACACACGCGTTTGTGCTTTTTCGTTAACAGGCTTTATCAGTAATGAGTGAAATTTTGTGCATTTTATTTTTAAAATCTTTCGGGGATGGTATTTAGGTGATGTTTTAAACCCAGTGTCCAGTTTTTGTTGTTCACTATGATTTAATCTTTCTGAACCGAGGTGATTTTTCTTTCTTAATATTGGCATAATCTTTATGTCTAAACGAGAGGTCAAGTTTTTGAGGAAGTATGTAAGAATACTGTGTGAAGCCTTGGGAAGAAAGTGGAATTTGACACACAAGTCACTATACGCAGCCAATTTGCTGTGTTTCCTGTCTAAGGGAAGTATGGTGTAAGTTTTCTGAATTAGAGCCATTAGGTTAGAGAAGCTGTAATTGGAAAGTCGCTGCCAAATTGTCAGTTCAGCGACCCAAAACATACCGAAACAAGGTCAATCTCTGTTTCTGGCAGTCAAGAAAATTGCCATGTTTAAGAAAGCAAAGTCACTCCCCTTGTCTGGTCCCCCACCCAGGCCATATGGTAGCGTTCAAACTGTATCAGCATTCTTGAGCGAGCTCTGGTGAGACAGACTGAATTCTTTCTTTGTCCAGGGAACAAGGCACCAACTGTAACCCACCAAAAATCTCTCTTTGTTGTGGGACTGCGTGTAAAACTTGCATTCATTTTGATGCAGATATCTTGCAGGAATTTAGGAGTGCTAGGAATGCATCGCCTATATGCGATTTTTCTTTTTCCCATACCTGTGTTAGGTTGATGATGGGCACAAGAGCTGAATTTGTTCATTTTTCTTTTCCCTGTGTAGAAGGAAGGCATTGAGGATTTAACCTGTATATTAACCATTCCTGCATCATACCAATAAAAGTGTTTTAGAATGCTTTCTCACACGATGGACTTGTTTGCATGGTTTGTTCACAATAAGTTGAAAGTGGAGTTTTCAAATGAAAATACTGCTTTATTTTAAAAGCACAGGATCTGTACAACAAAGTGAAAGCGGACAGGACAAATCAGCTTCACCCCACCCCTGCAGAGCTTGCTAAACACTCTCAGATGCTTTTTTTTGCAATGTGTAATCAATTACCTGTATGCTGCTCACAGCGAGGGAACTATGTTATTTACTATTGTGTTGCCAGAGGGTGGTGCAGGATACATTCTTAAACTAAAATTATTCATTTTTATCTCCTGTACTTGCCTGGTAGATCCAGCAGGTACATTCTTACAAGCTTTACAGGCTGAAGTCTTGCACCACCTAGGAGATCTTCTGTAGAGCTACAGAAGATGCATTCTCAGCCCCGGAACCACACGAGGATTTGCCCCAATCCCAGACTTCAATCACACCCTCTGAAGGCAATCAGTGACTTAGTTCTGTAAAGAGC